TCACAATTTTTATTTATTTTACCAACAGAGACCTGGCCACAAATGATAGCGCAACGAAGTGGCTTATCATGAGCGCCGTGCTCATCCTGTGTGGAAAGCCCGGTGTCTGTGGTGCCAATTCTACATTTCGGCACTTCATGGTGGACTACAAAGTGGTACCCTTTTTAGCAGGGTGGCTAAGGTCCACCCACTCGACCGAACTTGCAACCATGAGCTTAATGGCTGCAATACCCAAAATGGAAATAACAAATCTGTGCATAAAAAAATCACAACAAAATAGGGGGGGGGGGAGGGGGGGAGCAGCCGCCCAGCGGTCGCTGGCGATTGTGATTCCGTGGCGTCGTTAAACAAACAAAATTAAAAAAATATATTAATTTAACCCAGTGGTGTGAGGAGGGGGGGGGGAGTTAAAAAATGAAAGTTAAACTCGGAGTGAAAATTTCAAAATAAGTTCTTTTTAACGAAACCCCAATGCAGAAACGTGTTAGCTTATTGAATTAAAGTAGCATAAAAAGTGTGTTATTACATGCTCGGAGAGGCACGGAGGAACCAGATCGTTTAAATACAAGCAGGGCCCCAAAAGGCTTCTTTTATTTCTTCCTAAAACGACAAATGTAACTCTTTACCGGGCGTGCGCGCGCTCGCGCTAAGTGGAGAGACATGCCCGTTGAGTGTGTACTGGGTGCTTGGTAAGCCGAGGCTAATTTGGCACCGCGGCACATTCCTTATGCGCCACAATTCCCGGACAACGATAACTGTTGCTAATTAATTCCACGGTGGAGCTGCGGCGGGCACGCCGGCGCTGCCAATTGCGGCGACTTAAGTTTGATTCTCGGCCGCGGCTAGCATAGGTGATGTCTGAATTGGTCGAAGAAGTGCCCCCTTCCCCTCCCATCATCCACACCGACCAGTGTGGTGAAGTACGGTCGAGCAACCCCCACGACCCGCACTGCATTTGTAGGCTGCCATCCAGTATGCGTACGTAGCCGTAGGTTTCTGGTGAAGCTACTGCAGTTTATAAAAAATTGCAGCGTTTTCTACTACGTTGATTAAAGTGTTGTGGCTGTGACATTGAAAGTAACTTGCAAGTTTCCCCCCTCCCCCACTCTTTTACGAAGAGTCAAACTTGTGTTGGACAGCCCGGTAGGATGGGGATTGTCTAGTTCTATATTTATGTGTCTGGGTGATTTGTTTAGCTTATTTGTATTTTGCACTCCTGTTGTGTTTTTGTACTGTTTGTTGTTGTAACGTTCTTACCCCGTGCCCCTACTGGACGTCTGTGAAAAAGAGCTTTATAGCTCATCGGATTCCTCCAGGGTAAATAAATATTCTGATTCTGATGAAGAGATACACCCAAAAAACGAATACCCCTGACGTTGTGGTCTCACGTGTTATTTTGTACGCTACAGCGGTGCACTTGTGTAGATAGCCCAGGGCACAAAGTTTATACCTGAGAAGGTGGTGGTGGATGTGGCTTGGGGAGTCCTTTATCCAGCAGTGGAGTAACCATGGCTGATAATGATGATGATATACCTGTAGGTAGTAAATTGCTAAATCCGTCCATCAGTATCAGCGTCGAGTTCGGAGGTCGATAGTCAACGTATGGCAGCACTTACCTTCGGAACAACCTCTCATCCCCCCCCCCCCCACCAAGTCCCTCTTTGTCTTCCTCTTACCCTTATGCCTCCGATTTTGCCCAGGAGAAGGCAGCTTGGCAGTAATATTTTCCTTGGGAGCCTCGGACACCATCTCCTTTCTCCCTCTGACTAAATCCCTGCATTGTCCTTTGTTATCCCATTATTTTTAACATGTCTTCATTCGTTGATTGCTATCAAGCTAGCTAATCCACCTTCTTTGGTTCTTTTGGTAAAGCCACGTAGAATGAGAATAAAATAATAAATTGATAAAATAAAATAACACAATAATATTCTCACGACGTTTCGGCCACAGCGCTGTCCTCCAGACAGTCTCGTCCCTTCACCTGATGAAGGCCGCTTGTGTTGTGGCCGAAACGTCGTGAGAATATTATTGTGTTACTTTATTTTATCAATGTATTATTTTATTCTCATTCTACGTGACTTTACCGAAAGAACCAAAGAAGATGAATCCTTGCAGTCACGAAAGCTTTAAATCGAAATCTAGCTAATCCAAATTAAGGGTTTGTAGGGCCTCTTCAACATTGACATGATCACCATTCATCCCAGTGCTTGAAGCTGTACCCTCGGGAAGGTGCAAATTGAAGGCCGATGTCCACTAAAAAAAATCAACTAAATGTTGATTAAACCTTTGCTCCAAGAATAAAAACGTTAATGAACCCTTTCTCGGGGGGTGGGGGGGGGTCAAAGGTGTGGGAATAATTCTGCCCACTTTGACAGATGTTGGTATTGTTGAATGATTCCTTAGAATTAATTCAGTGGAAACGCCTAAAGAAAGACTTGTGTGTGCAGGAATGTGGCACCGTGAGCCGAGCCGGTTGACAGAATTATTAAAGATGCGGGCAGACCTTTCATGGCCGGCCCTGCACGGTGTAGTTTTTCGAGAGACACTCTCAGGACGGTGCGTGCTTACGTGTGACCTAGCACCCTGTACGATTGAAACTTTGTTGCCGTCTTAAATCTGGCACACCGGGTGTAGGTGGTAGGTGGTGCGTCGCCGATGGCTCTCGGTGTCGTTAAAATTCGCCGAGATTTCTCGGGGGTGAACCTATCGCCTTGATTTCAAAATCCCCACACTGCGTCGTTTTTAGCTTGCCGACTGACCGCGCGGAGGAGACGAGGGTTTAAGGAGGAACGACACTGCAACCCGGAGATGTTGCTCTTGAGACCTTCCAGAGTTCTCCCACAAATATGTTTTGTGTTTCTGGGGGCATTACCCCATCCCCTGAAACCTCGAGTGCACGGGTTCCCAACCTTTTTGCTATGGCCCCCCCGCACCCCCTACCCCCCATTTGAGATCAACTCAACCCCCCTGTTTTCCCCTCTCTCCATGGCACTAGTCAAGACGGTGTTGGTAAGCAAGTGTGTTTCACATTGTGTGTTCATGCGCTTTGCGTTCGTAAGGCACGTGTTTCACATTGTGTGTGTGTGTTGTGTAATTAAGGCACGTGTTTCGCAATGTGTATGTGTGTAAGGCATGTGATTCACATTGTGTGTGTGTTGTGTAATTAAGGCACGTGTTTCACATTGTGTGTGTGTTGTGTAATTAAGGCACGTGTTTCGCAATGTGTGTGTGTGTGTAAGTAAGGCATGTGATTCACGTTGCCTATTCGCACGTGTTTCACGTTGCGTATGCGTTGTGTTAATACGGCATGTTTTTCATGTTCTATATTAGTGTGTGTTGTGTTAGTAACGCTCTTGTGTCGCGTTGTGTATTGGTGTGAGGAGGGCACGCGTTTCACGTTGTGTGTCAGTGTGCGAGTAATTGGATGCGTGTCACGTTGCGTGTTAGCTTGTGTTGCGTGAGTAAGGCGTGTGCGTGTTTCACGCCGTGTGGTAGTGAGGTTGTCGTCGCAACGGATCGCTGACGTTAGCCTGCGCCGCGCATTCGCCCCCATCGCGGCTTCAGGGAAGCGCCTTGCGCCTCTTTAGCTGTTCCGCCATCGCCACTTTGTGCCACGTTCGACTTTTGAGGAAAATACAACTTCCTCGCGGGGACCGTGGTCATCCCCGTCATTATTTAACGCAATTACATCAGTTATTCGCAATGCACTACGCCCATCACGGTTTACGCCTTTTTACGCTTTGGCGGGCCACATTGCGTATACAAAACAAGCGGGCACCCTAAAGCCGTACTTGCTCCCACCTCGTGTCGTGTCGAGATGTAGAACGGATTGAACAAAAGAATATTGAAAACACTTAAACCTGATAAGAGAGAAGTAGGTTAAGAAAACATTAATTATGTACGGTAAAAGCGTCTCCCCTTTCCTCCGCAGTTTTCTTTATTTTTAACAAAGGTTTGGCAGGTGAAGCAGCCTTCACATGGCAGTGATTATGCCTTGGCCGGAGTGCGCGCGTGTGTGTTTGTATACGCGAATGTGTGCGTGTGTGAGCGTGCATGTGCGTATGTGCGCGGGGAGCACTTGCACTAACAGTCTGTTGAAGGCTACATGGAGGATATTTGTCTTTGGGGAGCGGTAGTGTAGCGGTTAGCGCGTCTGCTTCTAAGAAGCTGGCAAACCCCGAGTTCGATCCCGCTCACGGTTATCGGAACCGGTCTTGGGCCTCGCCTCGGTCGACTCTGCCTCAAATGAGTACCTAGTGCGGTGTGTAAACATCGCCACTGTGGAGATGGCCACCCACCCCCTCGTGTTACCTGCCGACCTCAATAGGTGCTTGGGAACTGCCACTTGCCCCCCCCCCCCCCTCTAGAAGTCCATTCAAGGCTATACGGGGGGATCTTTGTCTCTGCGTGCGGTCAAGAGCACGGGAACATGCGGAGCAAGCTGTGCCGATTTTAGACGTCTGGTTGCATTGGCTTTGTAAAAAAAAAAAAAACACGTGCCGGGAAGAAACAAAAAATCCCATCATTTGTAAGACAAGGGAGAGTAAAGTGGTGAAATTCCACTCGTTAACCAATTGTTGCTAAACCACTGCTTCGTTCCTTGTTGCAAATGCCACGAAGTCGCCTTTAATAAAGCACAGATTTCTTAGATTTTTGAAGTATAATTCTGTGTTTTAGAGGCGGTTGTGTGTGTGGGGAGCAGTAGTGTCGCGGTTAGCGCGCTGCCCTACGACCCCGGCGACCAGAGTTTAATTCCCACTCGCGGCCAACACCAATGACAATTATCTGAACCGGTAGTGGGCTTTTCCTAGGTCGACTCGGTCTCAAATGAGTGCTTGGTGGAGTGTGTAAAAGCATCGCCACTGGGGAGACAAAGGCGGCCGGGTGTGGAGTTGGACACTCAACCCCTCGTGTGCTGTATCCGCCTTCACAGGTGCTCGCTAACAGCACTTTCCCCAACAGTTTTTTAAGGCTACATGGGGGATCTTTGTCTTTTCCAGGTTGCACACAGCTCAGCGCGCCATCAAGCAGACCCAGGCCACCGTCAAGAGAGTTCACAGAGACATTGAGGAGCGACTGCGCTCCAAGGCCAGCCACATACTCATGGTAAGCCTCTTCTCCCTTGCTCCACACAGCAGCAGCAGAAGCATGTATGTATGTTGAACTTCTTTCGCACCCTACGTAGCCAACCGTGCTAATCGGAGGTGCGGGGGAAGGACAACATACTAAACACAAAAGGCAATGGTAACAGGGGATGAAACCAGAGATTGCACGATTAGTCGATCGTTGATCAGTCAATGAAAAATTAGACGAACATCTCCAATTTTTTTAAACATTCGATTCCTCCAGGCCATTTTAAAATTGGTGGCCGCCCCCATGTCCTGCCTTCTGAAGGTGGGAAACCCCCTTATACAAGCCACGCCCCAGCGCGAGGGGGCGCGGCTGATGATGTCACGAGCCCACGCCCATTACCTCTTGTTCAAGTGGCGCGCGTGAGATTGTTGTTTTTTCACGTTATCCTATTGGTCGAGTAATCATGCTGATACGTGGTTGAGAAATCGATTGCTCAAATCATCGGAGAGTCCAGCTCTAGGTGAAACTATTTATTGGCCAAGGTGGCTTGCCAGCTGTAGTCTCTCAGTGAGCTATGTCACTGGGATTATGGGAAACGCTAAGAAGGCGGTTGATCCACAGTTTTCCTTGCATCAGGCTGGGGGCAAGATGTTAACTCCCTTGCCTGGTATGGAGGAGGTTGTGGGTTCGATCCCGACCCTGACGTCTGCTGTATATTTGGAGTGTGCTTGTCTCTCTCTCTCTCCCTGTGGTTGCGTGGATTTTTTTCCGGGTCCTCTCAGGTTTCCCTCCACATTTATAATTATCAACATGCGTTTTGAGTATTTGACTGCTATACATTTTCACACGATAAGCCACTTTGTTGAGTTATCATTTGTGATGACCAGGTCGCTTCTGAAAAGAGCAACATATCTCAGTGGGGCCTTACCTGGTAAAAAAATACAAAAAAATTGTGTCCTTGGCCTACTTGGCACACTGATTTGGCACACATATTTGGCACTCTTGGCGTTCACGTCACCGGTTCTCCGTGCGACTTGACGAGCTGCCCAGCAAACTGCTGTCCACAATGCGGTGGAACTGACCTGGAGGTGGAACGAGAAGGGTGGTTGAACACGTATGACGTAACAATCACGCGAACACGTGTTTTGGATATTGAGTTATGATGGCAAAACGCAAGAAGATTAAAGTATTTTTAGCTTGTGCGTGTATCTGTTTGTCTGTATGTTAAGACGAAGCAGTGGCACGATGGTTCGCTCACTGAACTCTGAACCCAAGTAGCTGAGGTTGATTACCAGCCTCGGCTCACGTCAGTGGCGAGTGTTATCGGAACTGGTTCTGGGCCTCCCCTAGCTTGACTCGGCCTCAGCACGTGCATCCATGCTGTGTGTGTACATTAGCACTGGGGAGACGAATGTATGCAGGGCATGCTGCTGCCCTCACCACTGCCCCTTGCTTCATGAAACCTTTAATCGTTGCTCACTAACAGCAGCAGTTTGTTAGGATGCAACAATCTATTAAGGCGTGTGCAATTATCTTTTTTACGTATATATTAGTGGGGAATGGCGGCAACTGTGATTAACGCAGTGATTACCAAGAGGTTGATTCCTAGCCACGGCTAACATCTGCGGCAGGTGTGTTATCTGGACCGGTCCCGAGGCTCCCTTGTTTCAATGTATTACCTTATGCAGTGTGTTACTGGGGAGTATAATGGGGCTAGGCGTGGTTTTGACGACACTGCCCCATCGTGCATCGTGTTGGCCTTTATAGGTGCTTGCTAACAGCTCTTGGCCCAAAAGTCTATCGTCATATATTGCGATTCTCTAAGTGCATGGGCACAGTGATTTCACATTACCCTGCGAACCCGGCGACCAAAGTTCCATCCCAGGCCATGGATAATGTCACTGGCAAAACGTATCTGAGCCTGACCTGGATCTCCCTCTCATTGAAGCAACAAAGTATCTGGTGTGTAGTGTAAACATCAGCAAAGGCAACCAGGTGTGTTGTGCTGACAAAACCACTCCCTCCCGCACTCTGCCAGCCTTAATACTTACGCCAACAGCTTGTCTAGCTCGCTATAACCGTAATCTATGTCTGTTTGCACGTGTATCTGTGTGTTTATCTGCACCGGTTCTGCGCCTCCACGAGATTGACTTTGCCTCAAATGAGTACCTGGCATTGATTTGTAAATATTGGCACTAGGGAGATAAAGGCTGTAGATCATCCACTCCCTCATTTGCCTTGCTGGCCCTCATAAGTGCTTGCTAACAGCACTTGCCCCAAGAGTCTGTTAATGCTATATGGGAGATCTTTCTCTTTGCAACAGAAAGTGCACCTAGCCTGCCACGAGCTCTGTGGCGATGTCACCGCCACTTAGTGGCGAATAGCAGCTGTTGCTTTTTTCCGGGCATGTGATTTGTGTGTTCATCTGTATGCATGTTTGTTTGTCTCTCTATGTATGTTTCTGTGTGTAAGTGTGTATGTGTGTTTTTTTGTGTGTGTTTATGTCCCTGTGTGCCAGCCCTTTCCCCAACATGCTGTATGGCTATAGAACGGTCTTTGCTTGTACAGCGTGTGTGTCTGTGTTTTTCTATACCCACATGTCTATAACAATGTAATAGTCTCTAACCCTTACCCAATCCACTGCTGTATAAAGACCTCCCCATGTTGATCAAGGAGTTCGTTTGACCATACTTCACCGTTGCAGTAATAAGAATGTGTCTTTGTCTGCCTGTGACCGCAGCTGAAAGACCGTGAGCAGCTGCAGATAGGGATCTCCATGCTGCACTCGGAGCTGAAGCGACAGCGCCAGGCCTTGGAGAAGCAGACAGATTTGCTGCTGCACACGCAGATGGAACTCGCGCACCGAGGTCCGTATGACCAGAGGCACGCGGCAGGGGGTCATACTGACCCCATAGCTGAAGCCTCGGAAACATTAAAACCGGCCCAACGCCTCACTTCCACTGTAGAACCGAACCGACCCACCGCCGGGCATGGGTCAGGTTTTGTTTTTCCACTCGAGAAGCCGAGCCTTGCTGCCGACGTCGAGACAGAGTTTTATGCTCGTACATTTAATAACGGCAACGGGTTTCCGACGACAGGAAGCAACGGCTTCATTATCGCCTCGCTTTTTGCAACATTCGCTTTCAAGATTTGATTGGAAACGGCCAAATAAAAACATAATTGCCAAACACGCAGGGGCAGAATCCTCCTGAATGAGCGTCTTGAGTCTCAGCGTGGACTTCCTGCGTGAATGAAAAAATAATAAAAATGTTATAATAAATATGTAATTGAGCGTAATTTAAATTGATTATTGAAATGCGATGAGCTTACAAGTAATTGTGGCAATGTTGATTTGAACGCTGCGCAACGATGACTTTTTCCTTGCAATTGTTTCAGCCTTGCTGCTTGGTTCTATTAATCCGTGCATTTGTTTGTGCTTTTCATAATTAAATGAGTGCTCGCCTAGAGAAAAAATGCGTTCTTTGCGATGGAAACATCTCCGTTCAGTGAGTCAAGAGGGAAAACAAACCATACAGAAAACATTTTCGCCGCCACTCAAGTGGGAATTGGGCACCGGGTCATACAATTTGACCCAGAAAAATTAGGAAATTAAGTAACGTTGAAAATGCTGATATATATGTACGTTTTCTCTTAAAGCTGATGAGGATAAAGTTGTGGTTTTACCATACTTCACTCGAATATCTGATTAATCTCAATGTTGATAAATCCAAATTATTACAAACGTTATGTGCGCCTTGTCCTCAGTTGAGGTACTGTGCTTACTTTGGCGTCGTGCCATCTGCGCCGTTCATGTCTTCGTTAAATTACCTGTGATTAGCGAGACTTTCTCAGAAGTTAAAACTTCACTTTAGCAACAACAAAAAAATCCTGTAACAAAGTAAAGGGCAACATTTGGGCCAGGCGAGGTCGGTAATAAATTCAAATTATTCCAAAGTAATACTGCAATAGAAAATGGTCATTACATTTATTTGAAATTCAAGATGCAATGCATCATTGTATTTACTACTTTATAAATCAGCACCCATTCGGTGCAGCCATATTGCGATTTATTTTTGAGCGATTTTGGGTTTATTTTAGATCACGTTTCAATTTTAACTTGATTATCAATGCTGAACCTCCAGTGAAATTTCACGGAGCAAAAAAAACGCCCCGCCGTAGAACGAATCCAATCGGTCACAAGTTTGCTGACTCCCACCTCGGTTGGGGGGGGTTGAATCAGCACTCTAGTTGCCAATAAATTGAATACCGCTTTGTGGGAACCTTTTCTTATGGATGGACTGACCCCAATCATGGGAATGTGGAATCTTCCACCGCTGTCTCACGGTCATTCGTCGTTGCCATTTCCCTTGAGATCCTAGCTCCTCGCCAAGTATTTGTGTGTGCGTATAAATAGCTATATGCTGAGGTGGAGTGGTGGCGCAGTGGTTAATGCAATGCACTGTGGACCCAGCAAACATAATCCACTTCGTTGAGCTATCATTAGTGATGGCCAGGTCGCTTCTGAAAAATAAGCTAATAGCTCAGTGGGCATTACCTGGTAATATATAAATAGTTTAGCTATATTTATATACATTTTAACAGTGATTTGTTTACCTTTCCTACACTTCATAGTCTGATCGTGTGTTTTTTTACCGTTTGTTGTAACATTCTGACCTGCCGCTTCTGGACATCTGTGAAAAAGAGCTTTATAGCTCATGGGATTCCTCCTGATCCTGACCTGAGATTCGACTCCCAACCATTGGTCAACCTCAGTGGGAAGTGATACTTCAACCGAGCCTAAGTCCCCTCTTTGCCAGCCCGCACTGACCAGTGTGGAGAAGTATGGCCAGGCAACTCCCATGACACATGCGGGTGTAGTGAAAGGCATTCGTCCAGCAGTGGATTGACAGTGGGTTTGTAAATGATATAACTTTATTTATACATCCGCACAATTTGCGCATTCGCTTGCCGTCACTTAAATTAACTGGTCTGCAATTAAGAACGTATGGCTATAATTGTTCTAAACCAAACCACAGTTGTGTTTTTTTTATTCCTCTACAGCTTTGCCAGAAAGCATTTATTTTATTAGCATTATTTTCAAAACGATTACAATTTTTTTTCTTCCAGCGGATGAGTGGCTTTTAAAATACGCTAATGATAAAACGGTGCTGGGAAACCGCAGGGCTGATTGATCTCATTCTGTTTTTTCCCCTATGGCGTGCAGCGGAAGAACTGGAGAAGAAAAGGGAATGTCTGAAGCAAGAGTGGGAGACTGTGCAGAAAAAAAGACGAAAGCAGGAAGACAAGAGGTACTCTAATCACATTTCGTCGCTCAGAATGAACGAACGAACGAACGCGCGTTCATATTGCGCTCAATCGCGGAACGAAACATCTCGGAGCGCAGAGCCCCCTTATTCGCTGCTGTCCCTGTGCGGCACGCGGTGACTCCGTATCCGGCACCGACGATGGGGGCATTAGTCTGCCAGTAGGGAACAAAGATTGCTATTATGCGAGTCATTTGTGAGCGCTTTTTTATCGTTGGAAATTTGGGCCGAGGTCGACACTCTGTGTGTTTTTAGTTATGGTAGGAGGGGGGGGGGGACGGAATAACCTGGAAGAAAACTCACGTGGAACAGCAAGAGAACGTACAAAATCTGCACGGAGATATGCCCCAGTCCGGGAATCGAACCCAGACACTTCTTGCTGCGAGGCACAAGTGTTATCACCGCACGCCATCCTGCTGCTCCGAATTCCACAGCCAGTCTAATAAAAGAACAAGCACTGCTGATTTTCCGTCAAGTGGTGTGCTTTTTATCCATCCTGGAGATCCTTATACATCGTGTCACCGATTCTGCTCCCAACCGGTATTTGAACTCCCCAACCTTTTTGATTTGTGGGTCAAGCGCTGTAACCACAGCACATCCTGACCAGATCCTTGGTCCATAGCGTGGCAACAATAGCAATGACGGCCCATAAAAATTATTGGGCGGCCGCGACAGGAATTAACGAACAAGAGCCTCTTGGCGAGGAGAAACGTGACAATCACAATGCGTCGCGGCCACCCATTATTATTCCATTCATTCAGTTCAGTTTGTTGGGCACTTATTTATTTATTTTCACCCAGCTTCTGTGATTTGAGACTTTTTTTTCCTTCTTTCCGGCACGCCGACTTTTCCCCGCGCCGGCTGTCTGTGGCGTCGGCATGTGAGAGAGCACGGCCTGCGATCTCCGTGTCAGATTGCATCAGTGCAAGGAAGGCCCGGCGTGAGCCTTTAAGATTTTTTTTCATTTAAAAAAAAATTCCCCCCCCCCCACCCCCCACCTTGTCTCCGCGCGAACGGACGCTCGGGTTACAATCACAGCGAGGCTCGCACGAGGTTTAATTGGCTGCAGGCGTTGTCGAACGTCGATCCACAGCGAGGGGAGGAAACAAGGAAATACTACGCGATCGTAGCAACGACCCCGACGCGCTCGTCCAAATCTCTTTCGGTTTTTTGACGTGCGTTTGCTTTTCCTGTTATGGTTTAGTTTTTCCCAGTCGTATTCCAATTGTGCCCTCGGTCGCCGGACAGAAGACATTTCCATTCGGAATTCTCACAAAGATCGGTGTGTGTGTGTATGTATATATGTACGTGTAATGAACTTGCACCGTACATAGCCAACCATGATAATCGGGAGATGCGGGGGAATGACAACAAAATAAACATACGCGCAAAAAGTGTACTAAACTTAACTATGAACTCAACTATTTTTAGTTTACCAACTAAGGCTCTTTGAAAAAATGTGACCTGGCCACAAATGATAGCTCAATGAAGTAGCTTATCATGTGGACATGTATAGCAACGAAACACTCTAACACGTGTTTATGAATGTGGAGAGGACCCGGAGAAAAATACACACGGCCACGGGAGAACATGCAAACTCCAAATATACAACAGGCTCCAGGGTCGGGATAGAATCCACAACCTCCTGTATACCATGCGAGATAGTTAACATCTCGCCACCGTGTCGCCCGACATCTTGCCACCATCGCATCAAAAAACAGCTCTGAAAAAAAATGACGTTCCAATCCTTGTGAATTCTGCTCAGTAGTCTTTTTTGTGTGCCCTGAAAAGGGTGTCTTGCATGGCAATCTAACTGCAATTAGTTGTCTTCCGGGATTTAAATTAGCAATAAAAACGAGTGACTTATCTGAAGTTTAGGGCAAACCGGACGAAGCCCCATGAACATTCTCGCTTGGGGCCCACGTTTGAACGCGGTGCCGAGACGGCGTTCCCACGTGGCGTTACGCCGAGAGCCTTCGCCCACCCGGTCATCCGTCACCGCCTCAAAAACATCTTTCGCATTTCTTTCCTCGCAGACGTCGCTGGCATTAAAGATCTCCACTTTTATGCAACGGTGCAGCAGCGCAGTTGCCAGCGGGTTTTGACGGGAGAGTGTCGTATCTTAAGAACGGAAAGTATGCAAAATTCATCCAGCCTGCGGAAGCGTTTGATGTTTAAAGGTTTTATGCAACATTGTTTTGAAACAAATGTTTTTTATTTGGTAGGAGCAATTTGGAAGTCTCCGTTTTAATTAGTGTTTTCATTCAAGCACAGAAAAAACATACCTTGTGTGTCATGTCACTATTAATTGGAAGGTTGACCAAGCTGCGCTGCGTGAGCAACATGAACTTGGTTTGAAGATCTTTGGCAAATAACATTTCCGGCCATTTTTAGTTTTTACACCGAGACCTGCCAAGCTGAAATCCAAAGTCAGTTTGTTGTTTTTATTTTGTCATTTATTGTTTTTTATGACGCGACCTTTTCAATTGGACTTTAAGCTACTGGGGAAAGGTTGTGTTTATCTGTAGCTTTGGGAAAAGTAAAAAAAAATCAATTTCTACAGCAATGAAATAGATAATCAAAACCATCTTCAGTTCACCTTACGGTATCGGCACCACTTAGTGTCTCCGGTGTGTTTATGTGGCAAAGTAGTTTTATGGTTTTTGTTCAGTTTTTTTGCCGTGTTTTTTTATATTTACATTCCCAAGTATACTGAATGTTATCTGGATATCTTGAAAGTTCCCAAAACACAAACATCACATAAACCAGCGTCATACATTGCCACGTGACATTTTTTCTGGAATCCCGGTTTGTGATTTATGACACAATCTCACATGTGAAGGGTATTATACCCAGTAACACAACAGCATCTGCTATGCGCATATGAGAGGAATTATGTGTATCTGAAACTAGTCCCAGCCCCCTTAGGTCTACTCAGCCTAAAAATACTGCCTTAGCTTCGTCGTATTAACCACCTTTACCAATAATAATAATTACTATGCCATATATTGGAGAGTCCTGCTACATTGGCTTGTTTGGTAATGAGAGTTTATCTTCACGTGGGATAAAACCCAGAGAAAAGCCGCTTGCGTACGAGGGGGTGACACTCAGCACTGTCATCTGCTGGGCACCTCGCAAAGCTCACACCTACAACACCTGGGCAAGCCCCCTGGTGATCTCCCATTTAAGTGCGAACCAGACTCGGACCTGCTTATCTTCCGAGATCGGATAAGGTCGGGCGCATCGATGGTGATTTGGTTCGTGGGAAAGAGTTCCAATGATTCTCTCCGACGTGGATTGGAGACGAAGGGAGAAAAAATAGCCCTTCGATGTTACGTATGAAACTTTCCACTGATGCAGCCGATGTGGTTACGAACATCGGGCCTGGGGAGACAAAGGTGCTCGGGAAAGTATCGTGCTGGCCACACCACCAGCCTTCCTTGTCTCGCTAGCTATCGGGATGCTCACGAACAACGTTCGTGGTCTGTTCCTCTATATGCGCACAGCAGTGTTGACGGTTAGCGTGTGTAGCCAGCACAGGCCATCCTCTGAGTTGACTCAAACCAAATGAGCACCTGTTGCGGTGGGCATGTCGCATGAACGCCAACGTCTTGCCGGAGTATAAACAGGCGGCGGCGCGGTCTCCGCACCCCATGTGCCGTGCCAGCCTTAATAGGCATTCACTAACAGTTGCAAAGTGGGTTTTCCTTTTTTCCGTCCTTTTGTGTTTTGTTATTTCCAAGGTCCATGCTGCAGAAAACCAACGCGCAGCTCACCGTGCGCAGACGGCAGATATTTTCCGAGCTCGCTTTCATCTACCCCATCGCTGCGGTGAGTGACACGAGCTGCAAAGAGCGCTTTATTAAACCGTGGCCCTCCTTGCGCACGTGCGGAGCACGGTCTACGGCAAGCGGGGCGTGCGCTAGCGTGTCTGTGTTCTGTATACGTGTTTGTGTGTGTGTGTGCGTGCGTACGGTAGTGATGTGGGAGGGCGGTGGTGTAGCTGTTAGCGCCCGCTGCGCTACAAACCCGGCGACCCGGGATTGATGCCCACTCACGGCCAACACCGGTGACGATTATCTGAACCGGTCCTGGGCCTCCCCGAGGTCGACTCAGCCTCAAATCAGTACCTGTTGCGATGTGTTAACATTGACACTGGTGAGACAAAGGCGGCCGGGCGCGGTGCTGGCCACCCACCCCCTCTTGTGCCGTGCCGGCCTTCATAGGTGGTCAAGCACTTGTCCCAAAAGTCTGTTAAGGCTATATGGGGATCTTTGTCTGTGTTTGGTGTGGGGAGTGGTAGTGTAGCGGTTAGTGCCTGCTGCACTACGAACCTGGCGACCCGAGTTCGATTCCCACTCACGGTTAACACCAGTGACCATTATCTCTTCGCGTCCCCAAGGTCGACTCAGCCTTAAATGAGTACCATGCTGCATTGTGTAAACATCGCCACTGGAGAGACAATGGCGGCCGTTCCAGGCGTGATTCCAGCCGCATCACACCCCCCATGCACGATGAAGACTTTAATAGGCGCTCGCTAAAATAATCTGAATATTTATACTGGAGAAATACGTTGAGCTATAGAGCTCTTTTTCACAGATGTCCAGTAGGGGTGGTAAAAATAATACCAACCAATGCTACTTGTACAAGAAATATTACTCAAACAGATGCAAATGAAACTAAACCATTCACAAGCAACCTAGCCACAAATGATAGCTCAACAAAGTGGCTTATCATTTGGACATTTATAGCAGCAAATAACATAAATAATCTCAATCCAAATTTCAATTTAAAGCTTTCGTGACTGCAACGATTCATCTTCTTTGGTTCTTTCGGTAAAGTCACGTAGAATGAGAATAAAATAATAAAATAAGACGATAAAATTCTCAGGACGTTTCGGCCACAACACAAGTAGCCTTCTTCAGGTGAAGGAACAGAACTGTCGGTTACGTCCTGTGACCGCCTGCGAGTTAACGTTTAACGTGAGAATTTTATTGTCTTATTTTATTATTTTATTCTCATTCTACGTGACTTTACCGAAAGAACCAAAGAAGATGAGTCTCAATCCAAGTTTATAAAAAGCACATTCCCACTCTATACAGGATATGGAGGGAATCTTTGCATTTGATTTCTCAGTGTGTGTGTGTATACGAAGTGCCTGAGGGTGCATCTGTGTGTGAGAAGGGGGAAGTGCGATGTTAAGGGCCAATGAACAACAGCGTCTGGCGGATAAAACACAGGTTACCTAGTGGGGCGGTGGGAGGGGGGTGTAGGTTTTGCATTTGCCATTCAGGCGGTCAGTCCAAAGCCACCTGGGTTACGTCCCGTGACCGCCTGCGAGTTAATGTTTAACACTGCGTACATCATCAAAGTGCTCCCAGCGTGGCTGAGTACGTCATTCGTGTCATCGCCACTTGCTGCTGAATGGGGAGGCGGTTGTTTTTGTTCAGTGGTTTGTACACTGCGCTCTGATCTTGGTGACCTCGGTTCTATCCCTCGCGGCAAGACTTCGCCATCGGTGGTGGGCATCTCCTGAATCAAGTCGGCCTGTAAAATAACCACTTTCGGTGGATTTTTTTTTTTTATGAACGTCACCACCTAGGATTATGGTGGTGACGAGTCAGCTAGGCCATGGCGTTTGTGGTGCTTAAACAATTTCCAGCCACATCCGGCCTGTTTTTTTTGCGATTTCTGAAAATGACTCGGCGGTGACAACAAAGCCCCCAAGTGTTGCATCATTGCCTGGTCGACCCTCAATCCATATTCGCGTAATGATTGACTGTGATTAAAAAAAACGCTTTTTGATATTAAGCCGAGATGTTCCCACCCCTGAATCGTAAAAACGGGCGAGTGTGAATCCACCTGGTCTTTATAACCCCCTCTTCTCAACATTTCACCGTTCATTGTTCGTTTACAGGCGGGCGTGATTAATGATTTGTCATGGACAGACTTTCACACGTGATATGTATTGCTGACGTAGTATTATTTTTTTTTGCCATACTGCTAACCACGTAAAAATAAAATCGATAAAATACCAGTTTTGCAATGGATATATATGGTGAACAGTAATCGTAACATATTTACTTTTTACCAAAATCAAAAATCTTTATTTAGACTGGAGGAATCGGATGAGCTATGTTAGCTCTTTTTCACACAGATGTCCAAAAAAATTAAGTTACAACGACAAACAATACAAGAGGAGAGAAAACGAACGACGGGGGTGAAAAAAAAATGAAGAAATCGGTAAGAAAGTCACGAAAAAGAAATGTTTTCAAAAGAAATCTGTAAGCAAATCAAGACCAAAAAATAGTAAGAAATCAAAGCAAGTCACGATAAATAAATAATAAAGTATATTACCACAAATTGCGTAAGTACATAAATTCCTGCCGATTTTTGAATACTAAATGCAGGCTCGAGCAAGGCAGAAATACTGACAATTTAGCTTAATTGAAGGAAGACACGCCTAAAAAAAAACTTAAGTGGCTCTGGTGGACACATGCCAGGGCCCGTATCTCCCGGGCTGTCCGAACAGAAGCTCGGAGCTTGACGCATGATAAACTAAAATACCACCCCAAGTCTTTAAAGATAAGGACAGGTGCCCCCCCCCCCTCCCCCATTATAGCTTTGTCGTGGTGCTGCTGCAGGGTGTCTGATTTTTAAGTCCTTTTTCGTTATTAACAGAGCTTCCAACTTGTGTCAGACAGCCCCCGGGGCACGCGCACACACTTGGTGTGTATCCACAATGTGAGCGTCGATTTTGTTTTCTGGGTAGTGCCTTCCTTTTAAACAACCACGCTCAAAGCGTGCAAATACAAATACTTGTAAGCACACAATTACAGGACGTGTGTATACACACACACACACACAGAGGTACAGGCCACACCTAGAGATTCATAAGCGGTAAAATGATCTTACAGCCCTTTGTCAATACACTGCTGGATGAAGGCCTCCCCATGTCGTGCCCATCACCGGGATTGTTGGACTATACTTCACCGTGCTGCTCAGTGCGGGTTGGTGAATGATGGGGTCCGGCTCATGAAGCCGGTTCAGATATTGCTCACGGTCGATTTTTGCCCCTAGTCAGGAATCGAACATAGTCCATCTGCTGCTTTCAGGTGATTGTGTACTAACCCACTAGTCCAATTGCTATGACTTTTCTGCAAAGCCCTAAGGTTGCATGCAGTTGTGTTCATGTGATGTCCACTGTGTGGTTTTTTGCTGCTGCTGTTCAGAATGACAATGAAGAGCACTTCATCTGCCACATCAAGTTGCCCAACTCCGACAACTTCCAAGGTAGGCACGAGTAATTTTTAATGAGTCGTCCCTTTCCTGCTATTGCATGAATTGTCGTGATTTTATGTCGCAATTTGATTCACGAATCATATGTTTATTACCTTGAGATGCATGTAGATTTTATAGTGTCCATGAATCAGGTAAGGCCCATTGAGCTGTATAGCTGTTTTCAGAAGCGACCTGCCCACAAATGATAGCTCAATGAAGTAGCTTATCATGTGGACATGTATAGCAACGAAACACTCTAACACGTGTTTATAAATGTGGAGAGGACCCGGAGAAAAATACACACGGCCACGGGAGAACATGCAAACTCCAATTATACAACAGGTGTCATGGTCGAGATTGAACCCACGACTTCCTGTGTACGAGGCGAGGTAGTTAACATCTCGCCACCCGCAAGCACCAATCACTTACAATATCTCATCACATCACCATCAGCCATGATCTAGCCACTGCTGGATAAAGGGCCACTCAAGCTGTCACCATGTCTCGCAGACCTGCGATGTAAAGATTTTTACGGTTAGCAGAGCTTTAATCATTGCAAATGAAGAAAAAACGGAAAGTGCATAAATGAATACGGAGAAATGCGTGCTTGGGATTATCAGTGAAAGAAATAGGAACGCACAGACAGAAGAGAACATTCACAGGTTGGACATCACTCGTACATTATATTCGATTCCAAAACAATCGATTCTCTTACGCACCATCCGAGGCATGCATTGCGAGCTTAAGGATTATTTTATTATTCTACTGGATTCATCGATAAACCGTTACATGCCAAGTGGACACAGCCTCCCCGACGCCCCCCCACGTCGCCCCCACGTCACCCGCACGTCGCCCCCACGTCGCCTTCGACGCCGCCCACGTCACCTTTACCACGGCGAAACACCGCGAAGGGAGCAAGCACTGTTGGCAACGTCCACGGCAAACGTCACCGCCAAACCGCATCCGCAACTCGCCAGCAAACCGTCTCCCGCCCTTGAAAAGCGGCAAGGGAATCCCGCTTTGCGAATGTGTTTTTTTTCTTTAAGAATGTACAATTTTTTTTCTCTTTCTCTATTTAACTTTTTTTGTTTTGTTAATTCACTTGCACGCACGTGCCGGCGCGCGTTTGCCATCGCTCCACGGTGACCCCCGCTCGCTTGACGCGTTGCAGCCGCGGTCGGCCAACTCCGGGCACCGGCGGAGGGAGTAGTTTTGCCCCCCCCGCCCCCCCCCCCCCACCCCCCTTGCTACGCTGTGGGTGAGCAGTCGTCCTCCTCCGTGTCTGTATGGACGCGCTCGTAAACGATGCAACAGAACCTGAGAACGCGTGGATTAGAGAACGTACGCACGTACGTAAACAAGTTGAATAGATGAGACTTGATTGTTGAGAAAAGCAAGTGGGCTTGGGTAAGACGCGTCGTTTCCAACGGATGATGGCCGGTGGTCAAGACCAACGACGGAGTGGCAGCCAAAGGAGGGAAACTCGCTCGAGAGTACGTTCACTGCAGAGATGGAGCGATGCAATTGGGCGGTGTGCAGGCGCTCGACGGATCGTTTGTTGCATCCTAAAACTGTCAAGAGACTGCGATGGCTTGGGGATATATTCATCCGGCAGTAGATAGATCACGACCGATGGTGATGAGAGCCGACTCAGACATAGTCTCTTTTGCAGTGAATACCTGAAATCAAAACAAACAATGTAAAGTACAAGGACGGTCTGTGTACAAGAATGAGCAACGCGATCTTAACATCAACTGTGACGATACAAAAAAAATGTCTAAACCTAAATATAATTAGGTCATTCAGGGTGCAGTATTTCTATTTTTGTAAATGTGACAAATACTTTCACAGACCCTTTATACATTCTCTGCCGGATGAAGAGCTCCCTCGTGCCGTGTCGTTCATTCATCAAAGTTCGACCAAACTTCGCGGACGTTTGTCATCGCGTTTGTTGACGGCTGAAGAGTGGAGGACTCGGGGGGGGGGGGGGGGGGCGGTGGGGGGGACGAAACCGGTTCAGATATCACTCACCACTCACGTTAGCCGTGGCTGGAAATCAGCGCAAGTCGCCGCCTGATGGGGTCATTGTGTCGTGCGTGCCAACCAGCATGCCCCCGTGTTATTGCCAGTTACCCGATATTGTACATGTTCGCAGAGGAGGCAGTGTTACACAATGCATGCCATCAGGTGCGGCGCAGGCAATCACTGGCCAACCCCCTTAGAGTCATGCATTCCACACAAATTGCAAAGTTTCATTGCTCCTGATAAAACACTGCCCGCCACCTACCCACCGCTGCCATGCTTCAGGAAGGACGACGCCAGCCACCTCCAACAATGGGTCGGAGTGTTTAATGCTTCCCTAACCCACGGCTGAAGGGTTGACTCGTTGCTGTGCCTGTAACGCGGGGGGGGGGTGGGGGGGGCACGATACATCTCGTAGCAAGGTTCGATAGGGCGTTTGACTGAACCCATCATCCCTTCGGGGTTAATAAACGAGTACCGTATTGTCAGGAATCGGTGCCTGCTCTTGCCATAGATATGTGGAATTTCCACAACTGGGTTCAAGGCCATCAATGGAGATTAGCACAACTCGCTAGTTTGAACACGGTACACTTGAACATTTGTGCACGAAGCAGTGTTCCTCATTTATATTCTATCGAGAGTTTAGATTTCTGCTCGATCAAGTGTTTAATTTTATCGTGAGCTCTGGTTTTTGCACAATGGGTTGTCTGTAAGTGTGTTGTGCGGTAATTTGGGAGGGTTTATGTTTTCCATTTGTCGCTTCGTTGTGTATTCTACATTTTTACGTTCTACTTTCCATGCGACCGTTGTGATCTGTGCTGCATTGCTGTGTTTATGTTTAGCGTAATTTTTCTTACCGTCATGTTTTTTTGACTCTAGATCACTTTTTGACATTTTGTTACGCGTTTAAAGTGTGTATTTCCTTGACATTTGGAGTTGAAAAAAAAGGCTGACATTTCCCCCCCCCCCCCCATCCTATGTTTCCTCTCCCGTTTTGTTTATTTGCGTTTCGTTAACCTTGACCCCACTCGTTGGTTTTCTCCCGCTTTAAATATTTCGTCTAATTATTTTTGACCGTTCCTTTCATCTCCTCCATTTCTCTTTTCGTTTCTTTTCATCCCCTCCTCGCCCCTCGCCCCTCCCCATGTCAAGTTTATTTATTTATTTGCACACGTTCTATTTTTTTCTTTCTTTTTTGGCCGGGGAAGTTTCACGTCATGTTGCATTGCGAGACTCTGCATACGAGGCTGCACAGACGCGCGCACTCACACGTCGGGAGCGCGTATTCACGCTGCCAAAACCACGCTTTTGACCTGGGGGGGGGCGGGGAGGAAAGGGTGGGTGGAGGTTTGATTGGGGGGCGGGCGGTGGTGTGGGGGGGGGTGGTAGGGAAGGGGCGATTTACCCGGTTTTGTTGCAGGGGGGCCGCTGGGGTTGTATGGATTTTGGAATGGGGTGCACAGGGGCATGGGGGAGATGGAGCGGGAGAGGAAGTGGCGAGGAGAGAGAGTGGGAAGCAAGGCCTGCGTCCCCCTCCAGTGCGTCCTCTAAATACACCGCCTGACGTTATGAGCGGCGCCTTCCAACGACGCGGACTTGTTGCGCGCTCCCATCCTGCTCCCATCCTGCTCCGAAACGGACGCGATGCCGTTTGGCCCGAGCGACGGACTAGGCCGGCGGTGGGGCAGTGCGTTCTTTTGGGCAGGGCCGATCTGCGCAAGGTTGACCCTCCTCCAGCAATCGGTGGCATTTCTGTATGCATCATTCAGAGTTGGGAGGTTTTACAAACCTTGATAGATAATTCTGCTCCGGAAGATGGATGGCATGGACGCCTTAAGTGCGTAAATAAAACCCAGACAGAAATAGTATTGGGGATGAAAATTATACTCGTGCAGCGCGAATATCCTATACGTTGGCGAGAACGACCATACTAATAATATTATACAGCTCTCTATCTGTCAACTGCTGGATAAGGCATCCTCAGGAAATATCAGGCATGAGGTTTGTTTGACCACACTTCACGTTTAATGGTGCGAGTTGGTCAAGATTAGTTGGCCCAGATGCGATAGATATATCACTCACCACTTGATTTTAGCCATGACCAGGAATCGAACTCGGGTCACCAGGTGTAGCGTATAGTTCACTAACCACTGCACCACAATGAATTTCTCATCAAATTATAAGAAAATAATTTCACGTTGCAACATGCACTTTGGTCACTGTCGAAGAGAGAGAACGAAGAACCATAGCAGCAGCCAGGCGCTCAGCCAGTGCCAAATTCCCCCTTTCCCAAGCTCTGGGGTCCTACATATATATTAAGGTGTTTATCGACCAATAAATAGTTGATATGTGGTAGGAAACCGGACCACCCAGAGGAAACCTACACGTGCGAGGGGGCAACACGCTATATTGTCCAGATAAAACGGGTGGAGTCCACGTTTTGCTGTGCCGCCTTCTCCCGGTACGCCAGGGCTACGGCAACCTCATCGACGCCCACAGAGAGAATGGAGTTGTGAGAAGGGAGTTGTGAAACTCCCTTCTCTCTGTGGGCGTCGATGAGGTGGCGATCCACCAACCCCCTTCACTCCCCGCCTCCTCCACCACAGTGCTTGATTACAGGCCACGTGCATGGCCACCACCTCCGCCCGGCTTATTGACCCTCATTGTACTCCGCTCGTTGCTTTGCAGCGATCTGGCACCCCCCACCACCTCCATCTCGGCACACATGCCGCCTGTCGTGGGAATCGCGGGGAGGTAAAAAGTAAAATAAGAATTTTACCGCAATCGTGCGAGCGTTTGTTCCGGGACACACTTGTCCGTCCGTTCATCGGCGGGCGGCGGCGGGCGGCGTCGACAGAAAGCAATTTGTTGATTTTTGAGGACATCCGGCCGGCGCTTGTTTACCCGCGCGCGTTCCCAGCTCGAGGACACGGGCCGAACGCGACGCCACATGCGCCCTCCTATTTTTAGGCGGTGGCGGCCGTTGCCAC